TTCTAGGTAGTGATATAAGGCCTACTAATTCCATTAAGCTGTTTGTGGGATCTCTTTCCATCTATTACTGCAAACTGAACGAATTAGCAGTAATTGGAATTTGACCTTCTTGGTTTAAATTATAAACAGGGGTTAAGCTAAAATAAGATATGTTATAGAACTAGATAGTCCACCTGATTACGGATTTGAGTTGTAAATTTGAAGTTACAGTTAATCCAGCCAAAGTAGCACTTATTAGTTCTAAATCCTGAGTTTTGGGGGAAATATGTAGTTGCTCGAAATTCCTAAATACCTTCAAGAGGAAAATCCTGCCAGTAGTTTACCTACCCTTCTCTGGATCTTGCTGTATTATGGGGAAAGGAATATAAATTCTGACAAGCAAGTATTTCCTTCTGTTTTAGTTAACATACATTTTTTGGGGATTGAATGTGTCACTGTTAGTAATTAATTAAAAGGTTTTGTAGTTTTTGTGTATAATTATTTGGCAATGACTGAGCTCGCATCTGATGCATGCTTTAATGGTCTTTGTTTATATGGTTTCATGGATCAATGTGGTAGAGAACTCAAGCTTTTAATAAACCACATTTAAAATAATATTCTCTCTAATAAGTTTCTGAGTTAATTGAATTATTTAGATTCATTGTTTGATGATAATATGTTTTCTAGACATAGGTGTGTTTCTTTTCTTCCATCACAAGTTAGTTGTTCTGTTTATTATAATATTTTCTTTGTCCTTATGTATGTTTCCCTTCTAAGTTCGAAGCAAATTGAAAATTCAAGTGTCAACTCTGTTGATCTAAAGGTTTCATATAGGATAAAACTTATGTTGTTCTTATATTTCCTGTGACCACAGGATTTCGTGTTGTATACTTGTGTTTAATTTATTATCATGCTTAATTTCATCCATAACCTCCATAGATCCATTTTGATAGCATGGATTTGTTGGAAGAGAAAGCATGCTGATTTTGTTTCCTTTTTCTATGTGGAAAGTGCAAAATGTAAACATAGAAGTGTCGTGTGCCACGGGCCTTTATTATGTGTATAATGAAATTCTTAAATCAAATGATCTAGGAGTAGACATTGCGGGTATTTTAATAGTTTTTGTTTCTGGCCATAATATTGGGCTTCTTTTTGGTTTGTTGGGGTGTATATCCAAGAAATAACCTATCTTGTTTATTTTACAAATAGGCTTCACTTGATCAGTCCCAGCCTTTCCAGAAAAATGGTGCAGTGGCATTGCTCTTTGGTGCATTTTACTTGCTCAGTAAGTATGCCACCCACTGTACATGGGTTACTTCAGAGGCTTACTCATCTCCTTCAATTGTTCTGGCTGCAAGAGGTGCCCATGGAAATAGAGTTATCTTTGATGATTATCGTGAGGCATACTTCTGGCTTCGGCAAAATACTCCTCCAGATGCTAAGGTGATGTCTTGGTGGGACTATGGGTATCAAATCACTGCCATGGGAAACAGAACTGTTATTGTTGACAACAACACTTGGAATAATACGCATATTGCTACGGTTGGGCGTGCAATGTCATCTTATGAAGACGAGGCATATGAGATAATGAGATCACTTGATGTGGATTACGTATTAGTTGTCTTTGGAGTGTTACTGGTTATTCTTCTGATGATATTAACAAGTAAGACTGGAAATCACTCTCCTATTTTATTAATTATTGTTGTGTGTCTCTATGCAACAAATCAGGCATTGTGTGAAAGATGCCCTGAATGTTTAATTGGTTTTGATTCTTTGCTTTAAATCATGAAACTCATGCTGTTCATACTTGGATAGTTGGATTGGTGGTGCAGTCTGATTGAGTGGTTAACACTGTTATGTACTTTAGAGTCTGAAAAGCAAGGTTGGATCTTTCTCACTCTCTCTGTCTCTCTGTCTCAGTCACCTTGTGTATGTATGTGGTGCAAAGCATGAGAGATTGTATGAAAATCTACCTCGAGTGGCTAAAATTATCAGTTCTTTACTTTAAATTATGAAAACTAATGCTTTTCTCCTTTGATTGGTGGATGTAATTAATCATTCTTGGCACTTCACTACTTTCCCTTCCTGACTTCTACATGTAATCCCCAGCCCCTCCTCCCCAACATGGGCAGAGAAAGAAGATGAAAAGGAATAAGAATCATATCTGCTTTGAGTGTATAGAAGTGGTTTCCTACCATTTAGCATTTTGAAATCTCTTTTCGATGGCCATTTGTCAAGACAATTTTACTGAGTGGTTTTCTGCCAATATTTGCACAATAGTCTATAGTCTATACCAACGGAACACAGTCAACATAATCTTTTGTTTTTGGTCTCCCACCTTCCCTTTTCTTCTTTCCTGAATTTTCAAGTGCCATTATTGTTTCTTAATTACATTTTATTCTAAATAGATTTGTGGATGGTGAGAATTGGAGGTGGAGTGTTCCTGTAATCAAGGAACCTGATTACCTTGTTAATGGTGAATATCGAGTTGACAAAGGGCAGCTATAAAATGTGAAATTGCCTCATGTAAGTTCGAAGTTACTCTCTCTCTCTCTCCTCTCTCTCTCTCTCTCGCTCTCTCTCTCTCTCTCTCTATTATGATTATATATAGTATATGTATTCATTCTTTGGACTTCCTAGAGAGTTGTTGGTGCTGGAAAGATCTTTGCTTAATAATATTATTAATTTTGTGCTTAGGTACAAGCTATCTTACTATCCGGTTTGGAAGCTGATGACAGAATATGGCAAGCCACCTGGGTAAGTTGGCATTCTTGTCTTCTTTGTTTTTTCAAGATGTTGGTACAATAATATGTGCTTAGCTACATATTCAGATGTGTGTGTACATCTATATATTTTATATATGAAAAAGATAGTTTATATCTATATTGCTAAATTTCTATAATTGCTTTCTGGTTTGGCAGTTATGATCGTGCACGAGGTGTTGAAATTGGAAATAAAGACATTAAACTGGAGCACTTGGAAGAGGCATTCACAACATCTAACTGGATAGTTCGTATTTATAAAGTTAAACCACCAAATAATAGATGGTAAGAGTTTCTGCTTCCAACTCGTGGTGGATCTTGAATCGGACTCGGTAGTTGGAATTTTGCTTTGGGTCTTGGAATCATAGAGTTTAAGCTGTAACAACAAATCATATTTTCTCGAGACTGAGTTGGTGACAATGTTTAGGGCTATTAGGTTTTCCAGAACCTTTTTGTTTTGTTTTGTCAAATTTCAAATACCCATTTTTGCAGATTTCATAAATTCGTATCCCTTTTCACATTGAGTTGTTAAGATTTTCTTATTTTATTAAATATCTCAATTAACATTTTGTTTAATGAATGGTTCATTGGAAAAAATTAAAAAAGCACATATAATACCATATATAAAAGCTCATGATATATGTGCTGAAATCAAGCACATCACGTTTTCATGGGGATAGTAGGTAACATACATACTATTCCATCTTTATTCATGACTTAAAAAATCCATTTTTCTTCATCTATAATCTTTTTAATTCATTTTAAATCCATCAATATGTTAGTATTGGAGGTTTCATGGTTCGATCCGAATCAAGATTAAATATGATATTAATATATGCTTGTCCAGATTTAGTTAATATGTTATTAGAATATGAATAAAATCTACATGTATGGCACATAAATTTCACGTGTAAAATTAATGGGTAAATTACATTATTAATTACTCAAACATGATTGTTTTTTTAAAATAATTATTAAATTATTAAAAATTTTAATTTAATCACTAAAATTTGATTAAAAATATTTTTATCATCTAATCTTTAGTCTTTACCGATAATTATAAGATATTATGTGATATTTTCATGTTATTTGATGTTATAAAATAGATTGCTCTTTATCATAACAAGTTTGTAAACTGAAAAATAATAAAATTGGTGTAAAAAGCATTATTTGACATCGTAGATAAATTTACCTAATGTTTTAAAATATATATGCTATATTTGTATGTTAATTAGATTTTTTGAAATTGTGGGTTCGAAAAAAATTCAGATGTATACTTTCTTTTTAATATGAATTAAATAAATAAGACTTGAGAGATTAAGAATAGATTAAAGTTTAAAGAAAAATGGTTAGATTGCATATCTGCGGAGATGATACTCAATGTCTATAAGTTATAACAACGTTGTGCTCATGTTAATTAAATATTGGCTTTGGATATCAATTATCATCATAGACGTGGGAGATTCCATAATTGGCGACCAGACAATAATATTCCAGGATCCAAATTCTCCAATCAATGTGACCTAGTGGCTTTCATTTTCTAGTTTTAAAGCTCATCTCTCTTCTATAAATACCCTTCGCCCACTTCACCACCTTCATCATCAACATCAATAAGCAATTCTTAGCTTTCTCTGAACAAAAGAATACTCCAATTTCTCAATCATTTCAAATAATTTTTCTTCTGAGAAATGGCTTCCAACGTTAAGTCATCAACTGCTCTATTTCTCTCCTTCAACATTCTCCTCTTCGCTTTTGTAAGCTCTGATAATGTTGATTAACCATTAAAAAACTCGAAGGGTTCTTCTTCTACAAATTCCATGGACAGGAACCCTGTTGTTAACCTTCCTCCTGGTGCCTTGTTCCCAAATGGCAATGGCAATAACAATCAGGGCCAGTCCGGTAGTTGTAATCCCCTGAACCTTCGTGTGTGTGCTAATCTACTGGGTGCTTTGGAGAATCTTGACCTTGGTAACACACCAACCCAACCATGCTGCAGCCTGATCCAAGGGTTGGCAGATGTTGAAGCTGCTGTTTGCCTCTGCACTGCCATCAGAGCTAATGTCTTAGGCATTAACCTAAACCTTCCTATTTCATTGAGCCTTCTACTCAATAACTGTGGAAGGAGGCTCTCTTCTGAATACCTTTGCAGCCCATAAAATTCACATCTCTCTTCTATAAAACCCTTTGCTCACTTCATCACCTTCACCATCATGATCATATTATGCACTTTCTAGTTTTCTTAAGATTTTGGTTTGAGAAATGGCTTCAAAGATTAAACCATCAACTGCTTTATTTCTCTCCTTCAACCTTCTCTTCTTTGCAACAGTAAACTCTTCCGATGACCCCTACGATAATGATTCCTCAAATGGAGCCGGAGGAAACTCCAATAATGGAAATTCCCAGGGTTCTTATACAACAACAAATTCCAGGAACCCTGTTGTTATCCGTCCTGGAGACAGGTTTCCTCAGGGCCAATACGGTACCTGTAATCCCTTGAACCTTGGTGTGTGTCTTAATCTGCTGGGTTGTTTGGTGAATCTTGACCTTGGCAACGTACCAACCCAGCCATGCTGCACTCTGATCCACGGGTTGGCTGATGTTGAAGTTGCTCTTTGCCTTTGCACAGCCATCAGAGCTAATGTTTTAGGGATTAACCTCAACCTTCCTATTTCATAAGTCTCCTACTCAATAACTATGGAAGGGAGAACCCTAGTGAATACATTTGCAGCCCATGATTGTTCTACTTCTTCACACTGTTTGATTTCATTTCGTAATGAGTCTCTTGTAATGTGCTGGCTCGTTGAAGAAGGCTTTTCAACCTTTCCTACTTTCATTGCTTCTGTTCTACATAAAATAAAAATGTTTAATACAATAAATAAATTTATAGTTCTACTTTCCCAAATGGGATAGTTATATGATTAAGAAGAAATTTGTTATTATACTATGATCAATATTAAAATTTATGATTGTTTGCTTTTTAAACAAGATTCAAATATCTATTTTCCCAATTAAAAAATTGTCATTATATTTCAATTTTATTGAATTTTGCATTTTTAAATTTAATTTCTTTAATTTTTGAATAAAAATTAATAAAATTAAAATATTTCACAAAATATTTTTTAATAAAAATAACAAATATAAATGTTATTGTCAAGCATGCTGTAGCAATGCTAATGATTAATTAAGATCTTAAATCGACTCTTTCTCTACTTCTAATAAATATGTTAATTTTAAATGCCACTTGTTGATATAATAGGAAAACAATATGAAGAAGATATGAAATTGATACAGATTAAAATTTTAACAAAAATTATATATATGAATTTGACAAAACTAAAATATATATGTTTTGTGTTTGATATATCGATACAAATTATAACAAAATAATTTTCACATTTTATATGTGTTAAATATGAAATAAATAGACAAATGTACAAGAATTGTTATATCTAACTTTTACATAAAAAAAAATATAAATTTTGTTGATTTTTTTAAAAAAATTATAAAATTGGAATATCTTATTAATACAAAATATTCATCAATTTTGTAATTTTATATCTAAAAATTAAAGTTACAATCCAATGCAACTATATATTGCTACTTTTATGGTGATTACTAAAATTAGTCCCTGCTACATTAGAATGGACTAATTATTTAATATAAAAATAATAAAAAATGGAACAAACAAAAATATTATAACAATATTAAAATTTAAAATTTATTAATATTTCATATATTACTATTACATTTTTTTGTTATTTTTTCATGTTATGTTATAAGTTTTATATTTTATATTAATTGTTTGATAAAAAATTATGATTTTTTAATTTTTTGTAAATTATAAATTTTTTTTATAAAAATATTTAAAAAAGAAAGAAAAAAGTAACTTAATTTTTATTTTTTTGTATCTTTTTATATTTGTATTTATCATTATTATTATATTTTTATTATTTTATTCTATTATATATAATAAATGATAAAAACTCCAAATTTATATAAAAACATACATAATTAATTTTATGTTATTTTAAAAAGTTTTGATCTAAGTGGTCTTTTCTTCTAATTAAATTTCATTATTTAAAAAATTTTGAAAGAATTCAAATAAATTCTCTCATTTAATTCAAGAAAATTCAAAAACTCATTTATTTGCTCAAAGAGAATCTATCGTTTGATTAATTTAAAATTTTATTAAAAAAAGTTTATATTTATTTTTGTTTTTGATTTTACTAACCTTTATTTATACTAAATATTTTATTAAAAATAAATAAAATATTTTTTATTAGAATACTTCAAAAATCTTTTCAACACTTTTGGTAAATTTGTAAGGAAATTCATCACTTAGAATTTTGAGCACCATTTACAATTTTCTTTTAATGTCATCATTGAAACAATTTTCATTTAATGTCATCATTGAAACAATTGTCATTTATTTCCATGTTTTTAAAAATTTACATGTTACTAATAAATAAATAAAATTATAAATTTAATTTTCTAACACATATTCTTAGTTTTTTATACTTTTAAATGATTAAAACATGTGCGTAATTTAAAATTTTAAATATGTATGTAAATAAAAAAAAATCAATAAGCAAATAAATAAATAAATAAATAAAAGACAAAACAAAGTTAAAAAGAAAAAAAAAACAAAATTAAATAAAAAAATAAAAAATACCATAATAAAAAAACAAAAAACAAAGAAAAATACCTAAAAGTTCTTTGTGCAAAATCACTCCCAACCAATTTATTTCATAACTTAATTGGCCATGTAATCAACTTTTTGGAATAATTTTAATCATAGATATATAAACATTTGGTATTATTTTTTCTTTATGTTGGATTTTAGTTTTTATCACTTTTTTATATTTGAAAAGCTATTAATTAACACTTGTATGGACACATAGAATAACACATAAATAAATTTATATTTTAAATTTAAATAAAAAAAATCAAATGTTTAGATTTGAAAATTAAAAATGTGACATTTGTAATTTACAGTTTAAGAACAATGTGAGCCGGAAAGCAGAGGAAACAGCTGCCTTTTATTGCCAAATAGCTGGATGACAATAAAAGAGCAAGATGGAAAGCAGCAGATGAGGGTTTCGATCCACGAAAACCTATTTCACATTGAAATGAAATTAGAATACAACAATGACACAATTTACATATTCAGGGCAGAAGAAAAGGGGAATGGGGGAGAGTTATACTAGAAGATTATGGTGACTGCATGCATTGACTATTGTGCAAATATTGGGAGAAACCGGCTAAGGTTAAACAAAACAAATTTCAAAATGCTAGTGGGAGAAATCCACTCATATGCACTCAAAACAAATATGATTTCTTATTCCTTTTTCTGCTCATGTTGGGGAGAGAATGGCAGAGAGGGGTCACCTTAGAAGAGGCAGAGGCCTTTGCACTGCTAGTTCCTTTAGTGGATCCAGTCTGGACTTCTTTGTTCTTTAACCTCAACAGCACAGTCAAATTCTTCACAGTGGCAGAAACAGCAACAGCACTGGTAAGGCAAACTGCTGGTCTAGCAATAAGAATCAATTGACCCATGACACCAGTTAAATACGTGCTTTCGAGACCATATATCACGATAAATATAGTGGCATCTGATAACTTCTTGAAGCAGAAAAAAAGACCAGCTGGGAAAAGCGAAAGTGGGATGTGGAAATCAAACATGAAAGATGATCAGGCTCTTGGCTGATGCTCAGAGACAGATGCAATAATAGGGATGTGATCCTCGACATAGATTGGATCCAAACAAAGAGTAAAACCTTCCAGTCCAAGGTGAAATTCAGCCTGATACCGAGCCAACTCCCAACGTAATATCTCTCACAGAAACTGCATGGTTTACAGTGATCTCAAAAAAGCTTGATACTCTAAGCATGTGCTTCATCCAATCTGAAAGTAGAAAACCAGCGCAAGTAGCCCAAATATGCTTAATGCAACTTTCTGTTACCAGCACAAAGTCGTTTTAAGTATCGATATTTCAATTCTATAATATACTTTAGTTGGCAATTCTATACATTGCACAGGCACAAACCAAAATCTCCCACATCATAACATCCAATTAATGATGAATTGATGATTTTTATTTTATCAGAGCAAGAAAACAACACGTGCACAACTTTATAATTGTAAGTATCTTAATCGAAGACTATTTGGGACCAACCCAAAGAGTTCTGTATATGTCCTTTTTTTTTTTTTTTTGCGCATAAGAATTTTGAAATGCATGTATGTAAGAGTTGAGAAGGGATCCACTTACACTAATGTAAGACTTGTAAGAGTTACACATATTTTTGACCCTTGGATCAAAATGATTAAGTGTAAGTGTTATCAATTTAATTTTGATCCGAAGGTAAAAAAAAAAAAATGTATATCTCTATATATATATATATATATATATATATATATATAGCTTTCTCTCTTCCCTTAACAGTTGATTCCCAAGACAAAGCCAAAATTTTCTAAATACGCTGTTTATTAGCCTACGATGACATCAATTTGTATTGGTGTTTTCTTACCACTACTTATTTGGTCTTCAAATTTCAATTCCTTCACATGCTTATCATAATCAAGTAGGAAACTAAAAAGTGCAATACAGGGCATCCTACAGACAAATAGTTCTGCCTTTATGCCTTCCAAGTTGAAAGCACTATCATTAAGGCATCAGAAAACAAAATAAGGAAATATAGACTAGTAGAATTAGTACGTAATTTTCTCTTCTTTTTTGAATGATTATCTAATTCTTTTAACCAACCTAAAGATTATCCTTCTCATACAATAATAATTAATTTGAATCAAATTTATCACCAATTTTTTTGCAAACTTGTATGGCTGACTCCTGCAAGAAATAAATTGTGCACTTAATTTGGAAACGTTTCATAGCATTGCCTCACAAGCTTGAGCCAACACGATAAAATGAGCTTTTAAATATATATACATGAATACATGCATTTGCATATGAAAAAAGGGGAAAAAGAAAAGGTATGAATGTGCTATGATCTTACTATGCTATTGACTCCATGTTCGTAGAATCAACGTCTATAATTAAGCATGACCATGCTGCTTTAACTTAAAGTCAAAAAGAGCAAATATAAAACCATCAAAAGCATAAAAAGATGAAGTTATCTTTCTTTCAGGTGCCTGGACTGCTTTCAAGACAGTACAAATGGGGTTAAAGATTAGTTTTAGGGTTTATGATTTTAGAGTTTAGGTTTCAAGATTTTAAGGTTTAGGGTTTAGTGTTAAAGGTTTCATGGGAATTTGGGTTTCATGGAATTATGCATGTATGACAAATACATTATAAGGAAACAAATTAATTACAAATTTAGGCATTTATAAAACTAAATTACAAAAAAGATGTTCATGAGAAATAAAGAGAAAAATGGATCAAACACTAGAGTTTTTCCAACTTTAAAAGGATGTTTCACTTTTTTTCTTCAAAAACCAACCAAATAACATCAAAATCATCAAAACAATTTAATAAACTAGCATTTTTGCATTGAAAAATTAATCCAACACATTAAAAACTTAGTAAACATATCAAAAATAATAATTAAACATATAGAATCAAATAACAAATTCCTACCAAAAGAAGAAAAAGGTTTGGCCAAACAAGAAAACCACTATGGCCAAACCTTCTTGGCGTTTCCCCACCTATATTATTATTCCAAACATACATCACTTACCTTCCAAATCATCATGTAAGGGCATTCACATTATAAGAAGAATTTTTCCAAGTATAAAACAAACTAAAGATAGCAAAAAAATCACGAATAACTGGGACATAAACCAAACATTACCTTGCATCACTAACCAATCAAGAATCATATAAAACATCAACAAATTCATCATCTAGTCACCCTAAACCACATTTTGAAGCAACCAAACTATTAAGAAAAGCTAAAAAGAAGTTCGACCATGATAGGATAAGTCTTGGCCGAACCTTGAACTTGTTTTAATGGTGGATTTTATTGATTGTTGTTGCTTGTTTTCTAGTTTCAATCCTTCTATTGATTAATTGGATGAAGTTAATCCAAGCTTTGAGTTAAAAGAAAAAAATGAACTATAAAACTTTCAAGAAAACAAAGAAAATTAAAAAAAAAACAATATGAGAATGCTATGGTGAATGTGATGAGAGTACAAAAAATGAAAGATGAAATGTAAAGGGATTATACCTTTAAGCTTTCTTTAATATTTTTTCTTTTCTTCTTCTTCTTTTTTTTTCATGTTTTTTCCTTGGTTATTTTTCCACCTCTATTTCCACGCACTCTCTAGCTCCTTTCCTTTTTTTAGAAAATGTAAATGCCCCCTTGAAGATGATAAAGAAATATCCCATGTAGGATTAAATGCTAGCCTTTAGAATAAAACTCATCCAAGGGTCTATTTTTCTCCTTTTGTTTTTGGTTGCAAGGAGCAAGCTTTCATCATTGGATCAAGTTACTCCAAATGATTACATGGTCCAGAATGCACACTACCAAAATGGATTTTTCATGTTGTTAGGTTGGAATGAAAAGATCAAATTGCTCAAATTACAAAATTTTTGGTTTCTAGGTTATTTTTTTGGAAATCTATGTTCCCTTATTCATTTTTAGGATTTTAAAGTACCAAAAATCATAAAATATTATGAAACTAAGATTTATAAATTTTTGTGAAAATCTGACCTCGAGAAGGTCAAATTACGAAATTACCTTTAAGGGGTATTTTGGTAATTTCACACCTCCCAAGGTATTGCTATGATTTTCAATGCACCTAAAATCATCAAATATTTTAAAAGCATGATTTGAAAAGTTTTGTAAAATTTGACCTCAAAAAAGTCAAATTATGAAAATACCTTTAAAGGGTATTTTGGGGATTTCACACCTTTTGAGATACAGTTAAGGTTTTCAATGTTTCAAAAATTATTAAATAATATAAAATGATGATTTGGAGCTTTTGTGAAATTCTAACCTTGAAAAGGTTAATTTTCAAAAATATCTCTAAAAGTTATTTTTGTAATTTCACATGTCTTAAGGTGTGATATGTGTTTTTAATATATCAAAAATTATTAAAATATTCAATTATGATATAAAAGTTTTTACGAAAATTTGACTTCGAAAAGGTCAAATTACGAAAATATCTTTAAAGGCATTTTAGTAATTTACATTTTTTGAAGTGTGAAAATTATTTAATACTTTAAGAATCATAAATTTCAGTTTAAAACTACATTGATTCTAATTTGGTTGAGAATTTTGAAAGTTGACCATTTTTTACCAATTTTGACTAAGTTTAATCAGATTTGACTAAATTTGATCTTGGGGCATTTAGGTCAAATTGGTCCCAATTTTAATTTTAAAAACTTGTCAAAATTGAAGAAGTGTTAGATTTGAACCAAGTTGGATTTGAAGGGCTTTACAAATGTTCGAGATTTTGCTCGGATAAAATTAGGTGTCTACAAAACCCATGAATCTTTTTGCCATCTTTACTACCTAATTACCTGTTTGGGACTATTTGTACATTTTGGCTAATTTTGAATTCTTAATGCATGGTGTAATGATCGAAAAGAATAAAAAAGAAAAAGAAAAAAATACGAATGTAGCTTTAAGGTGAAAATCCTATAAAATTATAGTCTAGAGTAAACCTTGAAAGCTTTAAAAATATGTTTGAAACTAAATAAGTTAGACACTAACCAAATACAGCCTGAATCCTTTGAGAAATCCAAGGATATCAAGGTGCCAAAAGTTTGAAATGTATAAAAAAAGAATTGATTTTAAAATTTTGAGACTTCTTTCCTATCCCTAAATGACTTTCCAAAGTTTTAAGCCTATCATAGTTGGACATATATGAAACTGCCACGTTTGGATACTAAAGAAAGCGTTAAACATGTTTGGCTTTCAAGAGACTCATGCTTTTTATAAAAACTTACATTTCATCCATGAGCCTGCATGAAAAAAATATATACCATTTTATCCTTTTTAAGTGGTGAAACCCTTTGAATGAACTGAAACCTCCACGTGCTAAACCATTTAATCTATTTGAAAAGAAAATTTTCACCAATTTCATTTCTAGTAAGGATTCTAATTTCCAAGAGACTCCCAAAATCATAGTTTGTTTAGATATTTGGTTCTCTTTTACTAAGGAATTTAATTACGTAGAGCAATTTTGTTGACTATTTTTGAAAATTTTTAAATAACCTATCATGCACTTTTTGTGTAAAATAAGGAAATCATGTTTGGTAAAAAAAACTTTCTTTTAAACTACACCGAATTTAAGGAGGAAAACTATTTCTCATTGAAGAATTAATGGTATTTTTAGGGATGATAGTGTCTTCTTGTTTTCACAATCAAGAACAAAACATATGTTGCATGTTGTATGTTTAAATTAAAAATAAAGAAAACATTTTGAAAATGGAAAAAAAAATCAAGAGAACTTATCTGGAAGTAAATAAGGTAGAAACTAGTAAAGAAACAACATGAAAGAGGTGAAGGAACAGAAAAATGATAAGTTGAGATCATTTTGGGAAGAAAAAGAATATATAATTAGATGGGAAGTGGGAGATAAGAAGCATTCGAAAGGAATGTTCTTTTGAAAGAGGAGTATTTTTGGTTTTAGCATCCATGTTAAAGCACATACATCATGAAGTTATGCATTTGCATAAGCATTAGCATTAGCATTTTTTAAAATCTATAGTTGCAGGAAACATTTGCATCATTAGGATAAGTATATGTATTTGCATCCTCGAATAGGCAATTGCCTTATTGCATGAGCACATTTGCATTTGCCTAGGACACTTGCATTTGCATCAGGGTAGAAGGCATTGACATTTCACATTCTAGTGGTTGATCATTTATGTGTACTCTTTTAGAATATGGTTTTGTGTTTGCATCTGGATAGTTGTAAGGATCAATGCATTCATATCATCAAAAGTTAAGATCTGCATTAACATGTTTGAATATATACTTGCATCATGCATTCTTGCATTTGCATATTCTTTAAGAATTCTTCTATCTATCATATTAGGACGACAATAGAAATTGCATTTTGTTAAAGGTTATATA